AAAATAACGCTACTTTATCTTGGCACACGTGATTTTTTGCAGTCATAATATCAATAAATCTGAATCATGTCGAGTGATCTATCTCGTATATTTCCATCATTTACCAATAGAGTTCCATCCCATCTCCTACATATAGCAGAAGCCATAGGAATCTAAACATTCAACTCAAATTTATGAGTCCAAAAGTATTTCATGACACTTCTGTCTCTTTCTTACCCTGATTTAGCTTAATAAACGATTGTAAGTTTTTTTTACACACACTGTATTTGTCCGAAATTTTCTGTCTCTTTCCGTTAATTTTCTTCACTATCTAAATATTTACAGTCTCAGTCAGTCAGTCAGTCTGATGCAACGTACAACTTCGTACATGAGTACATCAGTTCATGTTGCCATACCACATCAGCACAGAGATATAATTGTCAATTCAAATCCAATAGTAGAAGAGGTAGTAGAGGTATTAGAAGTAATCGGAGAGGTTAGGATTAGAAGATATTATTCAAGAAGTATGTGATTTAGTGAGAAAAGTTTAGAAAGACAATACTAGAGAGGTTGAAGAATCCAGAAGATTAGGATTTGAGAGAACACAAAGAATAAATGCACCAGCGCCATTGTAAACGATTTTGAGCCATGTCATTCAAGGTCTCTAACCATAGATTATTACCATCTCGCAGACCCTAACCAGGTAGTCGACAACAACCGACATGACTCAGTCTACTTGTCAATGACTTCATGGATTTGTGCCATGTTTGGTTTGGCCGCCTCAACCTTTCTTCCAACCTATTCCTACACCACAAAACAAAGCTCTTCGAGGCAGTGGCTGGTTAGGCATACGCAACACACATGTCCCAACCACCTCAACTGATAAAGTTTCATTACTTCATCTACTGATCTGCCATTCTTGCCTAACACCCGTGTCCTAATAACAGCGTTGCTCACTCGAGCAATGCTTCGAAGACACCTATGATCAAAAACAAGCAACCTAAGAACATCCTCTACTCTCACTGGCCACATTTCACAGCCATAAAATAAGATGGAGCGAACTACTGCACGGTACACTCGTCCTTTAGTCAGCAAACGGATATCTCGCCTACGCCATAAGTGATGCGGGTTGACAAAAGCCAATCGGACCTTCTGAGATTTCGTCAGTCACCAGGCTATCAGTACTGATAAGACTCCCCAGATAAGTGAAGCGGTCAACACATTCAACTATTTCACTCCCTATCACTAGTTCAGGTGCCGATGAAACCCAATCTTGAAGCAACATTTTGCATTTCGAAGGGGAGAACCGCAACCCACACATGCTTGCATTGTTGCTTAGGGTAGTCAGAATAATCTGCATTTTGTCAGCGTCTTCACCAAGTAGGACAATGTCATCGGCATATTCTAAGTCAATAAGCGAGCCACCTGGTAGAAGGTCTACTCCTGAAAATTCAGACGAGGATAAGGTTATTTCTAGGAGCATGTCTATGATAAAATTAAACAAGAATGGAGAAAGTGGACATCCCTGACGGACACCACTTGAAGTATAGAATTCCATTGACAGTTCTCACTCGATCACTGGTGTTCGAGTAGAGAGCTTTTATAAGGTTAATTTACTTCTTTGGTACACCTTTCAATGACAGACACTGCCACAGAACCTCACGATCCACATAGTCAAATGCCGCTTTCAGGTAAATATTTACAGTCTTCTTATTATGGAGCTTCGTGTATATTATTTTAAGCCTCTAATTATCGAAGCTTCACCCACTACTTCTTCTAATGTTGAACTAATGACAAAAATGTTTGTTTTTGTATTTTCTTATTCTTACCGCAACTAACAGTACACTTGTCTTCCATACTATCAACTTGTACTTTTAACTATTAAGAGTGTAGTTACATAATCTATTCCATTGAGACTACTGACTCATGAATTGCCTTGATTTGGTTGAATATTTGCCTATAACTATTCAAGTTCGATGACGATCTAATTGAAAACAGCAATATTTTTTCACTGATATCCGTGTTGTTCTAATTTTCACAATGGAAATCTCTAAGATTTTACCTCCTATAATAGATAAACTATTCAGACAGCTGTCAGTCAGTATGAATTATAAATGCCGGGTTCCTAGTTAACTGGATACAATCAGTGATTGATCAAATTACTGATTTTGTGGAGAAACTGGAGAACTCGAGAAAATTCACTGATTTACTAGGGTGTGAAAAGTATTAAAAATTTGCATGGGGAATTAGAGCTGGAATGTTTTTTGTTAGAATTTAGAATTTTTATCACAAACTAACATTAAATATCATTTGAAGCTGCAGTTTAACTGTTGGGGACGTTAGATACCCAGAACTCACTTGATAAATGCCGTACTTTTAGATTCTATGTTTCGGAGCATGGGCTAATCAGTTGACCTTGATATCGCATTTCCCACTAGGAAACTTCTTGGCTGTGATTGGCTACTGTGTATTTTAGTGTACTATTTTTGTGACTGTCCCAAGGACGTCAATATGATGCATAAATTAACGCGATTTGTGTGCTTGATTGCATTATGCTTGCTGGATGTTCGTAGGATATTCTTTCTACGCTATATCAAGACTTTGGTTAGTCATCAGATCAGGGTAGCTTATCTGAACTCTGGTTCATTGTCTTGTTCTCGCTCATCGACTAAGGTGAACCCGTAATAGTTTCAAGCATATCTAGAGACGAACCTGCATGAAGAAATTTCCTGTCAATATCTAAAACTCGTGATCTTCAATCCATAACTTATAGTCTAACGGATTTTCTCAGTCTAATTTTGTCCTTACTCTCTGAATGATAGATGAAATGTGATTTACTTTAACGTTTAGTTGTTTTTGATTCTCATAGTTCTCTGAAATATTTTGTTCAGTTAATAATCCATGAGGTTGAATACACAATCTTCCTATTCAGACCAATAACACACTGAGCCGGTCAGAAATGCCTAAATGTGAAGGCCATTTGCTGACCATAAGAAACGTCCTAGAAGATGAATGTATATCATTGGTTAATGAATTGATTCATTTTCTAAGAAGGTAGAATGGTTATACGAGTATTTTTTTACATCTTATTAGGTAGCCAAAACGATTTGCTATTCTGCTTTTGTATTCTCACTGAAGTGGACAGTTTCGTGGGGGAAGTTCAGCACATTTTGCGTTTGCTTTCACGATCTACGGCACTACCTTCTTTAATAGATAAGCAGTAACTTTAGCATATCATGAAGTTCTGCGCCACAATAAGTACCATCACAAAGAATGTATCACTGTCAATACACTGAGTAGGATTCAAGGAACGAGGAACAATGAGGCAGAAATCAATATCAGCCGAACAAGAGAAAAGAAAGACAAGGCCCAGCTGAATACACAGAAACAAACAAGCAAGTGAAGAGGAGTGTCAGAGCTGACTATCCAATTATGTTAAAGATCTAGAAATGACAGCAGAAAAAGTGGTGTTACAACGAAAAGGCTTGCTAGGAAATATCTCAATCCAGAACAACTGGTGAAAAGCTAGGAAAGCACAGTAATCACCGACATTAAGGAACAGCAACACGAGAGAGTAGAACACTTGGAGGAAATCTTGAGTAAGTGAACCCCACTGAATCCATCCGATATTGAAGCAGCACCTACGAATCTCATAATCGAAATTGACTCACGAGCAATTGAAGAAATCAGTATGGTTATGGGACACATCAAGCGTGGCAGGGTAGCATAATCAGACAACATTTCAGGTGAGGCACTGAAAGTGGATATAACAGTAACTGCGAAGATGTTGCACGTTCTGCTCAGCAAGATTTGGGATAATAACAAGTACAAACAGACTGGAAAGAAGGACATCTCATCAAAATACCAAGGAAGAGAGATCTTAGCGAGTAGAACTACAGTTATATCATTCCAGATCATCAGGCTTGATTCCGTAAAGATCAATCGCATAACAACCAGTTCATGATACTACCGATCATTGTGGAAAAATCAGTTGAATGGAAGTCATCATTACAAGACGGCTCCCTTGACTATGAGAAAGCATTTGATAGCATGGTCAGAATGACACTATGGAGGCTCCTTAGATGCTACGGTGAATCTGAAAAGATAAACAACCTCCCATGGAATTTAAATGACGAGTTACCTAGCAAATTCATAAATGGAGAACAGTTCACAGACTCGTTCCAAGTGAAGACCGGTGTTAGACAAGGTTTCTGGTTCTCATCCTTTCTTTTTCTCTCATTGGTTGACTAGATTATGAAGATGTCAGCATTTCTGTGGAAGAGGGAAATACGTTGGACAGTTCTACTTTATGCAGAAGAAACTCAGAGAACAGTGAATGCTATCGTCCAAAAGTTAAATGTCGTCTATATGAGATTCACTGGATCCTTTGGCCAAATGCCATCATCAACAACATACTGTGACAGAAAATCGACCATCTTCCAGTCGAAGAGAAAATGATGAAGTGACGCGGGAAGTGGATAGGACATACAATGAAGAAATCACTTAACTG